CGGGGAAGCGAATGAGAACTAATCTGGCATGTTTTCCTCCTTGGAATCGTTCCCTTAGGAATGTTGATGGCTCACACTCTCCAATAATTGTAAGCCATAGCTCATGGTTTAGAACTTTTATAGTCTCTAATTTTTCCAGGGACAGCAGTACATTTTTGATGGTTTCAGGAAGGAGAACTAGATCCGAATGATGCATGGCTAATGCGCGCAGCAGGTGGTGAGGAAGAAGTTGATGCAAATGAGCTTCCGATGGGGGCGGTTGCTGCTGCCCAAGATGATGACCAGTTATCTTTTGAGGTCATATAGTAACAGCGTTTTTCGAAGTACGGCTAAAATTTCCCCCTTATCCAGTGGAGTGTGTTCATCAGTGATGATCTAACAGTTTTAATCTGATATCAGAAATATCTCGGCATCGACCTCTTCGATAAGTCTTATGACATCAATCATCAAATAATACCTTCTGCAATCCATTTGCTGGTTAGGCTTAGTGATTCCAACTGGCTTTGCCAGTCAGTATGCAGTAATGTCTTCTCGATTTCCTTCATTCATTCAGGATTATGTCTGGACATGCCTCAACATCGCTCAGTTGCCACTCCTACATCACTGCCAAGTTCAGACCGAATTTTTTGAAAGTATTTAGGGTGTTTTTAATAAAAGCATAAAGTTGGAATAAGTTGTTTAGAGAGAGTTGTTTTTTCTTTCTCTCAGACATTTACTACCGTGCAGAAATTTCGTTTTGAAAAATTAAGGAAACTATTTCTGGTATCATTCAGGATTCGGAACGCTTTGAAGAAGATTCCCTTTGTTCGTGGATGTCAGATGCTGAATCGTTAAATCAGAATTGGCGTGGATGGAGTACGACGAGGAATTCAACAGCACAGAATGGAATCGGTGGGGTTTTGTAATAAGTTCTATAATTTGTGCATGAAAACTTCAAGGAGATCTAAAAAATCGTAGTTTTTAGAGCGTACATTTGGAGACGAATCAGGTCCATTGTTACCAAGTTCGTTGTTACGCTTCACTGGTGGTATCACATCACCATCACAATGTCGTCGACATGCTCTATCTACTTCAGCAACTACAACGAACCTAGTCTCCCCCGCTCCAACAACGAGTATTAATGCGAATACAACATGTTAGTACTGTTGAAATAGCCATTCGTTTCGAAACAAGAAAGAAAGGAAAATAGCGGTTACATTGTTTTTTCCATCTCATATTGCAGCTATCATTCTTAAACGTATGCCTTAGGTGGAGTTCAATCCTTTGCAGCATATAAGGTGCGGAGCCTTGCCGAAATAGCTGCTCGTGTTGCTGCACGGTGTTTCTCATTTGTAATGCTGGAGGCATGTTATCATGCAATCTCAGTTGAAAAAAGGCGGATAAACCTAAAAAGTGGTGTGAATGATCGTTCCATTATATTTGAAAATGCTTTCGTGGAGCATGCTGCAATTCCTGACAAATTTTTCTTAAGCATAGTGCGTTGGTGCTTTCCTGAAAGCGAAGAAGATGTCCGTTTATACAGGTAATGAATTTCGATTCCGATGATTTCACTTTGTGAGGAAATTGTAGAAAACGTAAGTTTTTCACTAAGTTGTGGAGAAGATATCGAAATATGGATATTCGAGCATTATATTTCCTTCTATCTGTTCATTGGCATTTCCTAACTCAATTTGTCACTAATTCATTATTTCAGCTGTTTGGCAAATGGCAATGCTGATGAATTTGACAGAGGAGAATATTTATATCAAGCAAATGCGGTACATGAAGTATTCCAAATAGGTCTGTTGAATGCTGGGTTTCTTAGATCTCCTGTAACAAAATAGACCTGTTTCACTTTCTTATGAAGTATCAGTTTCAACATTTTTCTTTGGGTTAGCATTTTTGTGTGATTGTTTAAGTGCTAGTGATATTCGAATTCTATGAGTGAAAAAGCAAACTGTGGAACAATTTCGCATGTGATGATGACTCAGTTATCTGCATCAATCTTTGTGTCAGTAGCAATCATCGATACCGATGTGGAGCTACGCGATTAGAATAGAAATGTTTGGTCTTTCAGCTCATGATTTCTGCTGACTTGAGGTTTTGGAGCACAACTTAGTGCTTTAGATACGCTATCGGTTGCTTGTAGGTTATCATATTTCGGCCGTAGTGAATGCAACAAACTCATCTTCTATAGTTACTCCAACAAATTCATCAGCCCCTCCTTGCCGCACAAAGATGACGTACAATGTATCAGTTCGGGTTGACAGGTCTGTTTTGAATTGTTTTTAATTTTGTATTAAATAAGTAGCTGTGCAAAGTATTTATTTTGTGCAATGCTGATCTCATTCATAAGATTATACGTAATGTTTTCTTTTTCAGATGTCGCATAGTATCATGTAGCTGCTCATGCGCTTTCAAGGCATCGTGGTGTCAACATGTTGTCGCTGTTTGTTTATATAGAATAAATAAAGTTAACGAAGTCGAATATCGTGTTACTATTTGGGACTCAATCAATGAACTTACAAATGAAGAGTTGAAAAAATTGGCCCAGTTTCTTATAAATGATCTTCCTCGACAGGTTTATTTGCCTTGAGAAATATTTATAAAAATTTTTTTTTCAAGTTATTGCTGAAAGATATTTTCACGTTTAGTAGTAACAATGTATAGATTTTAAAATTTAAGTACTTGCCTGTCGCACAGCGTTTGATCGACCAGTTGCGGAATCCAAATTCTGAAATAAACGCTGCAGTTGGAGCACCGGATCCAACGGATGGAGGTCATGATAATGTTGCCATTTGGTGCTTAGATCAGCGTACACTGCACGAAAATATTCGTCGCATACTGATCAAATTTTGTCTTCCTTCACCGACTGTGCATTGGTATATTTTTTCATGATAAAATTACAACTACATCAAAAATAAAGTGTATGTATAAGAAGTTTTTTGTTGAAGTTTTTGTTCCCAACGTTTGATTCAAGAGCATTATGTTTATAGTGATGTGCAATATTTATCATCCAATCAGCCACCTGCGGCTAGTGAGTGGTTGTCTCTTTTTCGACCTCACAGAGCAAAAGAGCCAGAAGGTATGTTACTGACAATTGCTTGTATTGGAGGATGCGTCTAATAAAAGTTTTGCTTTGAAGGCTTATGGAATCTTTTATCAATTGTACGCGAGATGTTCAAACGTCGTGATGAAAATGCAACCAGTCTTCTACATATTGTTACTGAAGAATGCTTAGCTTGTTCACAGGTTTATATTTTTCTTGGTTTATTTAATGTCACTCAGCTGTATCCTTATGACTCTTTGTCCAGATTCTGTGTACAGTCTCGAAACCAGAAATCTTTACTTCATTACTTTTCGTTGACCTCTTAGATATTTGACATCTAATCTCTGGAAAATATTTCGTTTATAAAGTTCGAGTTATACAATTTTTAAAAATGCTCGCTGAATGAAAGCGTGAAAACGCATGGTTCTTGTATTTTTATAAATCGTTGCACGTATTATCTAGGTGATACGTTTCAAGGCAGGATAACGAGAGCTTTATTAGTTTAATACTATTCTAGAATAACAGAACTTGCAATGTATATTTTGATGTAATAAAAATGAGTTGGTTCCGGCATCTTTTTAAATATCTAAATTTTTTGACATTTAGGTCTTGATTTGGTGGTATCAAACTGCTTTATCTCAGTCCGGACAATGGACGCTTTGCCCACCTTCTACGAATAAATCGAGTTCATTAATGTCAAGTCAGAAGACACCTCAACTAAACTGTGCATCACTTTGTGATGAAATAGTGCAGTTGTGGAGACTTGCTGCTTTAAACCCACGTTTATCGTCTTTTGAAAGGGAACAAGTACGTAAAGCTATAAGTGGAATTTTTTTGCCAGCTCATGTCATTTTCTTAGTAACATGTATGTAAATGTCCGCTATATATATATTTCAGTTGACTAGTTTCATACAAATATATCATCGGAATGCTGTGGAGAGGATATGGAAGTATATTTGTTTCCTAGCAAATCCTGAAGCTTCAATATCATCAGTAAGTTAATCTCGCCACTTATTTAAATACCATTATTTCCTTCCGCTTCTAATTCATTTAATTCATCTTTCTGTTAATTTAATTTTATCTTATTTATGTTTTTTTCTGCAAAATTCATTAATTCAATCACTTTTAAGCAAGCAAGCAGCTTCATTATGTCAGTTGTTGATCGACAGGGACAACGACTATCCGCAGAAAATGCCCGTTTTACTGCTGATTTGTTTCCGGGATTTCTAAGTGCTTTGAGGGCATGCCAAATTAGTTGGGATAACACTAATATACAAGGACTATTATTTGGATCGAATAACGTAAATTATTTTAAAAATTGTTTATGACTGTTATGTTCTAGAATTCAAAAGTTATTAATGTTTAACTGATGTCATGGTTGACAGTTCTCTCAAATTCCATTTAGGTTTTGACAGTCTCCAACAAACTGTTATGTATTAAAGTATTGCTCAAGTTTCAGAATCTCTCAAGCGCTTATTCAGTTACTGATTTTTCAAATATAAAGTCCAGTCCAAATATTCCTGTTCTTCGTCGCCCCCTACGTGTTTCGGAAGATACCTCTTTATTAGATATTAGCACATCATTTTATCGCGCATCAGTATATGCAACTGGGACAAATTATTTCTCACTTCATCAACAGGTTATGCTTGACCCTTCACATGCGGCGAATACGATGATAATTTTTAATAATGTGTTGAAACTAGGCTTATTTTTTTACTGATTATAATGTAAGGTAATAATTCAGTAAACTATAATGTGATTTTAAAAAAATAAATTGGTATGTATTGAAGGCTTCACGTAAAAGACGGAAAAAATCATCTCGCATTTCCGGACGTCGTGGACATCAGTTTGAATTTCATGATGAGCGATCTCTAATCCGTGCTGTACGCGCCGCTGCTTGTGCTGCACGTGAAGTGGCCTTAGGTGAAGATGTCGAAGAAGATAGTGCTGAATCAGGACAGGAAAGTGAGGCAGGTCCATCAGTGTTAAGAAACAATAATCGGACAAACAGTTCAACAAATCATAATGAATCCGCTGCTACATTCAGGTCTTGTTGATGATATGAGCAGAGATTTTTCTATATTAATTAGTAATTTGGTGTTTTCGCTTAGTTTTTTAGTACTTAAAAAGGTATTTTTACAAAGTAAGCACGGGCACTCCATTACCAGAGACAGGATGCCTGAATGTCAGGTAGTCCAGATGTGGAAGATTATCTGTTCTTTTTCGAATTGAAAATTCAATATCGCATACATAAATATGGTTATGTTGAAATAAGTGAAGTCAATTAATTTTTGACTTTTTTAGCAATACGAATTATCCAAAAAATGATGTTGACGAATTATTTGCTATTGCACATGTACAACAATCAAATTGGGACATCAAGTTCGCCAGATGCGAAGCTCTAATGTCTCATGGATATGCACATCAGGCATGTGTAATGGCAGTGGAACTTGCGGAAGAAATGCTGCGCCGTCCTCCAAATTTACTTCATCACTCAGTGAATTATCCAGAACTATCTGCAGTTAGTGTTGAAATTGGATCTTTATATTTGCAACTTTTAATTTTGATGTAGTACTTGTCTCATATTGCCTTAAAGCTTTAATTTAAAATGTTACTTTCGATTGACCATTGTTACTGCAGATACAGCGGCATAGGAGAAGGCGATTTTCGCAGTCAAGTGCTGCTACTCCTTCTATCTTAGAAACTTCTCTTTTTGAACTTGACGAACAACTTATTGAAAAATCACAATTAGCAGAAAACATATATACAAGGTAAATATAAAAAATTACATGTACATATGTACAAAAATCTATTTTACCTATTTTTTTTGGTACTTCTATTCAACATTTAAAAGATCAGAAGGACGCTTTTAGAACACTCTTTCTGGTGCAAACATTAATGAAGGAGCCAAAAACACATCGATTGGCTTTTACACTTGCGATATCTGTACTTGAATTACCTCGTAGTCCTGCTGCGAACAAATTCCTGGAAGTCAAACTCTACTACTTGGTATGATTTTGATTTCCCATGATATTAGCTTACTTATTTTAGAGAAATATGAAATATGCTGTTTATTGATAGAATACTATATATTAGTGGTCAGTAGAAGTTACTCGTTGTACTAGCTTTAGAAACATAATTTTGATGATTTTGTTAAGGAAACAGAGCTGATTAGCTTGTTGCGAAGAATAGAAATTGGTGCTCCGGAACTGCAAATAATCAGAGATCGAGCAAGGAAATTCGTAGAAAATTCTGTTCTCTTAGCCTCTGTACCGCAGCCTTGCGTTTTGCCTATTTCCCTAGGCCATTATATTCTAGACTCTTTGTCATTCTCTCACAATACCTGTCAAGGGTGAGTTTCCTGTTTTTTTGAGCAATTGTTTTGTCTTGAAATGTCTATTCATACCTCTCTATTCTACCCTTAAATGCCAAAGAAAGATTTAACTTGTAGACGTCGCACCTCAAGCGGTATTGTGACGAAAAGTGGTGTACAGAGACGCCCTTGTGATGAAGAACTAGCTATAAAAGTCGCTCTAGAAGCATTGGGTATGAAATTAGTGGTTTCCGAAGCAGATTACCCTATGCTGTGTGAAAGCACACGACTGCAGCGTGGTGATCTGGCACTCACAATGCTATTAAGGTTAACTTCCAACATTCTATGATATTTGATAGATCTTACATTTTAGAGCAAGTTTGATTATTTAGGGGAGGTAAGATAGTTAGGAGGCGGGAGTTTTTTTAAGGAAAGAGATAAGAAGATTTGCGGAAGAAAATTCAAAACACTGTCAAAATGGGAACTTTGGTCGTAATTGCAATGCTTGGATTTGGAGCAGTCATTCTTCGTCATTGGTTTTGTACAGCTTAATTCCTTTGTAAGGGGCAGTCATTATTGTATTCTTTGTAGGTACAAAGACAATAATGATAAACTAGCTTTAGTACTGGACAAGCTGCTGGATCCAACTATGCATCGCATGTACAGGTAGGTTTTAATATTGTTACATTTCATTTGAAGGATAAGCAAGAAATACTCTTTTTCAGTCACAGATAACTTATTCATCTTTCTTGCAGAGATCATCATTCCAATGCTGCATTTTTCTTAGAGCAAGATCCATTGTACAAAAAATATTTTAATGGCCAACGACCGCATTTTCCTTTTAAGGATGAATTTCATCATACCGAATTCAACGAGACTTCAAATGGTATTGAAATAGAGAAGTTCCTCTCGTTTATTTGATTTATAATAGGTTTGGTGTCCAAAAAACAAACTCAAATGAAGTTGATGTAGCAGTATGGACTTTTTTACATTTCAATAATATTATGTTAACTGTTTTGCTGTAGTTAATTTAATAAAATTTAACAGGGTTGTCCGGCACTGAAACTAGTACTGCGATTACTGAAAATACGCATGAAAAAAGGATGGTATACGTTGCACCGAGTAGCAACAAAGATGAGGCTGAACAGCTTATTAGTAGTTTTATTCGTTTATCGCACGACTCACCGTAAGTTTACAGATTTGTTGCTTTACTTCTAGCTTGTATTTTGGGTACTCATTCCCCCAAATTACGGTTTGTGCTTTTCTTCAGTGATGGAAGAAATTGTGTCGCTAAAGTGACAAAAAATATAAGGTTAAAATATGAACTGTTATTTCTTACGAGTGGTATTGGACCCAGAGGAAATAATGAAATAATGCAAATGATTATTGGTTTTCCAATAGAGGAGTAATGAAATAACATTTGCTTTCATGATGTGTATTATGTCTTATATAATATTAAGCTAAACACTTGAGGAAATGAAATCAGTTCATTTTTAATGTATTAAAAAGAAATGATTTGTAAAACAATTACTTTGGATATAAGTTTCATCTCAATTCTATCGTTATTGCTTTTTAGTGACGATTCATCACCAGCAACATCTGCAAGTAGGCGACGATCATCGGATGAAAGTAATGACAGTCCATATGACGAAAGTAGCAGCTCAGGAATTTCAAGATGTTTGCCGCGTGATATATTACATGTAAGTGTTGAACGTTTTTTCAGTTTTGGTTGTTTTAGCCAGCAAACGACAATATTAACAAGTAGTTGAATAATTGTACTAATTTTTTTTTTGTTTGCTTATATTTCACTACTAGTTTTATTTCCTACTGTTGTCAAGTGTGAAGTGCAGAAGTAATTTAATCCCATGTTTTTATAATCCAATTTCTTCTTTTTTGCATTGTCTCATATAGTGGAGACATATCCTGCACTCTAACGAGTACTAATTGTTTTCAGGAAAGTCATTCACAGTACGTGGGTATAGCGGATCCACCATCGCCAGCCCACCGTCTTTCAAATATTCTAACTGTGGATAGTACAAGCGAATTCCCTTCATCACCTGCAGGTCATCCAGTAGAGTTGAGTAATATATTTTATCGACATAACAGGTATATCCCTCATTTCTTTGTGCTTTTGTATTAGCACAACTCAGTTCGGTCAAGACTAAGCGTTATTTTCATATATTCGGCTATTGAAAAAAACCAATTGTCTATATTTAGCTGTTCGAAATATTGTCTTCGGCTTTACTTGTAAATTTTTGCAAAAATTTGAACAGACTTTAGATTTTAATGAAACTTGAACTGTATAGGTGTAAGATTCATTCGAGATACTCAATGTTAGGAGGACAATTGGAGGTTTTTATTCAAATCTCGGCATTGATATAAATGCTTTTTTATTTTAGAATAACAACATTCGTTGATAAGGCAACTTTTTTTGTCTGTGAAATTCTTGTCCTTCTTATTAAAATTTTTCGATTACAGAATGATAAAAAATATGACCCCATCTGTCGTACTCTGTTTGTAGACGAAAGCCGATCCCTAGTTTGCCCAATCAAGCTTCGGAAGGACAAGCACATTGCATGATGGAACTTGCAAAACGTCTTCTTCTGGAAGCGGGTGGTAGTCAGAGTACAGTTATTTTTAATGCCTCACAAGGCAGTCAAAACAATCCACAACGCAATGGTATTTTTTTTAATTGTATACTGATTTATTCCAAATTTCCACTAACTACCATAAAAAATACCCGAGCTTTTACAGGTCCTCACCGACAACTGCATATTTGTTCATTCCTAATTGGACTCTATGCTCTGGGCTTGAACAACTTATTGTCTGCAAGTTGGCAAACTCGAACATATAGTACCAATGTTAGTTGGATACATGGTCATGCGATCGAAATTGGTGGGTTTAATATTCAGATGAAGGAAAAAATCATTTATACATATATGCTATGCTACATGTTTAACATTTAGGTTGTGCTGCTATCAAAATTGTTGAACGAGTCTGGGAAGCACATTTTACACCTACAGAGGTCGCTGCGTTGGCCGACAAGGTAAGACATACGTTTAATTAGACTAAATTTGATGTTATCTTCCGAATTTTTCAAATTAAATAATGTTAAATATGTTCTAGGCTAGTCTGAGCCGTGATCCATGCATGGTTGAAGCTGCTGCAAAACTTGCATTGAGCGTATTACCGAAGGCATATGCTTTGACAGCTGCAGAAAGTCAAAAAGCTTTGCATCAGTGCAAGGAGCAAAGTTCTGAGATGCTTGAAAAAGCATGTCGCGCTGTTGAACAGGTTCTGTTTACTTAGCTATTTAAAAAATGTTCGAGATCAAAGTGTCACTCGGAAGTTTCTTTCTCATATAAAAACATTTAAACAGATAGTAAAAACTTGAATTATTTGCCGTTTTTTAAAATTCATTATTGAATGATTTATAGTTAAAGACGAGAATGAAGTGCGCAGATTCAAAATTTCCATTCTAGAAAGAGTTGCTTTTTCAGGCAGCTGAAAAAGATGGTGTGTATCCGGAAGTATTGTTTAAAGTTGCCAGACATTGGTTCGATTTGTTTGTGGATTCTGAATCTGTTAGTAGTCCACAGACAAGCTTTCAGAATACTTCACCGCAACATCTGACTGGGTTTTCTCAGTTACACAGTGATATTTTGCAGTCACAGACTCATGAAGTAAGCTATGATACTGATGTGTATCATTATTCATTCCTTCGTATATATATATTTTTTTCAGTGAACTCTGAAAATAGTAACTGCGAGTAGTCCTAACAGAAAATATGCTAAAAGAAAAAAACTAGGAAATGCTTTCAAAATCATCTTTTTTGCTAGAAACTTCTTAGATTACAGCAAGCAATAAAATAAACATAAGTAGTAGTAAGCAATAGTAGTAGCAGTAAAGATAATTTATATAATAGTAAAGATAGTTTGTACAGTAAGCATTGCAGAGAAAATTTGTAATTTAGAACATAATTTATGTAGATTACTTTTAGTTAGACGTGCTATGCTAGGATGCGAATTACATTGAATATTATTTTTCACCTCCTTTCATACGTCTGAAGCACAGTGAGTACGGTGCTCTAGTAGCAATTTTTTCAGAGCATTTATTCTACAAATCCGCAAGCGCTACAACTACCTGTTCAGTGCAGACCTGTGCCGTATGCGGCAGCTTCATATCATTTCATGCCTCCTCACCATCATCTTCATCAAGCAGGGCCACATCGCCCTCCACTCTATGTGACTCCGGTATCATGTACTCAACCGCAAGTTGGAATTCACTATTCTCAACGGTGAGCACACATATTGTCGGTCTATCTAGAAATATTTCATTATTTCAACGAAGCAGTATAGAATATGGATGTAAGATGTTATATTGTTTGGTAATTTTATTTGGATAAGTTTCTTGAAAAGAAACTTTAATGTCTACGCAAATACAGTTTCAAAAAATGAGCAATATGTGGCTGTTAAAATTTTATACCATTTTTTAAATAATTCTTTTTGCTACAGAGGACCGTTACCAGTTGGTGCTATGTCGATGGTACCGAGACAACAACCAAGTACTATTTATCCCTCTCCTGTAGTTGGTGCTGCACCATCACGAGCCTTGCACATTAGTCATTCGGCTCCAAATTTAAGTCCGATGCAAGCTGTTCAGATCTCTAGGCGCAATCAGCCGTTGACTGTTTTGCAACAACCTCTTTGTCTTGGTGCAGGAGCGACCCGTTGTCAGTTTCCAACTGTAGGGGAACAGTGCATTCAAGTATTTAAAATTTTTAAAAATTCATATTCTGCTTACTGAAAACGATTTTTATTAAATTTCTGTGGTTTAGATTTATGAAAAACTTTGTCATAATGTATCTACAGATGAATTTGAAATTATGAAAACAGAAGCACTGTATTTTGACGGTAAAAAGTATACTAACTTTACTTAATTCTTGTACCACTTTCAGCCTATTCCAATAAGTGACGCTCTGCGACATCATTTACCTCCGCCTGCATCGCTTGTACTTTGTCATTCAGCCTCACAACCAGTCACATATTTTGGGCAAACAACTCCTCAGGTTTATTTTTTGGACAAAACAGTAGTTAAAAGTTAGCAGAACTTGTCTATGGGACTGGATATTTATGGCTGTTTGCCATAAGTATATGGAGGATTTAGCAAACTCATTTTGTTCTCTGAATAGCGTTTGTTAATACTATCGAGCATTATGCATGGTCATTCAATTCAGGTCATTTAATTTAGATGCCGGAATTTTTTTTCCACTTCAAAATTTTTTGGTTTTAAAATTTTCCAGCCTTCCATAAATGTTCCGCTACCGTCACCAAGTGCATCAGTTGTTGGAGATCCTCGTATGGCGAAACTTGTTCATGCTCATCGTGTCGGAATGATAGCAATGGAAACAATGGGAAATCGAAACTTGGATGATAATCGCAGCTACGCGAAATTTTCACAAGTAGGTTCTATTTGTAGCAGACTATGAGTTGCACCAATTATCTGTTAGTTGGAAGCTGGATTAAAAAGCAGTATTCATTACCACCTGAAAATTGCAGAACCCTGCTTACGCAGAAGACGTTCGTTGGTTGTTTACAGTGGCAACACGATTAGGTGGTGTTTTCACCCAGAGTTTTTGTGAAGTGGCAGCTCGATCTGTTGCATCCCCATTCGTTCTTTTTTCATTAGCTGTTGAATCAGCAAAGGTTGGTGCTTCATCCAGAGTTTTTGTGAAGTAGCAACTCGATCTGTTGCATCGCTATCCGTTCTTTTTTCATTAGCTGTTGAATCAACAATGTGATATACTGTTCTTTTCAACTATGATTGGAATCATGGAAACTTGGATATTTTTCTACAAAAATTACGATGAGAGTTGTTTCCAGGTTTTTCATTGGCAGATGCCCTCTATTAGCTACCATTCGCAAGCTGTAATTCACCCGATTCGGCCTCAGTTAACCGCTGGCGTTCCAAATGTAAGATTTACGAAACTACAACATTTCAAGACTTTTGAAGGACTGCACAGAAAGATAAAAACGAAAATCCATTTTCTTCAGGCATTTTTATAGCACAGTTATGCCTAAAATAAATAACTGCTGTAGGTGCGAACTGTGCTTCTGCAGAATGGATTTGCTCCGCCAACAGCCGATCTGATGCAACACTGCGTTGAGATGTTTTATGCTGCATCGAGCTCTAAGCTTAGCCATCCTCGCTTTGTCCCTTCAGATGTTGAAGAGGTATGTTATTAATTATGACGAGAGCGAGTGGAGTTGGATAATTTGTAAGGAAAGAAGGATGAGGATTAATTTTCCAGAACAATGTGAAAGTGAATGAGCATATGTTGAGCGGAGCGCTATTTACTATGATAAAATATTTTTTGCATTGCTTTTATGTATTTTTTCTCGGAAAAATTTCAAGACCTTGATGCTTAGCTGTACAGAATGTTCATACTTATTTCTTTCTATTTTTCTCTGTTTTCTGATTTTAGTTTATCTCTTATGCACGAAATATTCTATTCAGGTCGTTCAACTCGTTAAAACAGCAAAGGAAGCGTTCCATTGGATACCGGGGCCGGGGAAGTTAATGTTTGATGATTTCATGAGACATGTTCGGAAGCAAAAAGCTTGTAAAAAGGATGTTGCTCAAAGAATCAATGCTTGTGTTCAAAATATGAACTGATGATTTAGAAATTATAAAATAGTATACCTCTTTTCACACTACCTAATGTTTATTTTATCAACTAAAATTTAATGATAACTGGAGGGAACGATATGAAAATTCG